TTTGTTATTATTAATTCTTTTATTTCAATTAATTTGTGCTAGGGTGACCAGAAGTAATTATTTTTATAAGCATCATATAACAGTTTGCTATTATAGATTACGAAACTGCTATATAAGCCTTATAATTAAGTTTTTTGGCTAGTTTGATTACTGGTATGGTACAAAAGCTTTAGAGAAAAAAGTATAGATTTTTATGAATTATGGAAGATTTTAAATTTAAAAAATTAGAATGATCCACCAAAAACACATTGAAGCACTTAAAAAAATATTAAAAATGTATTGAAAGCATCCAGATTAGATAAAAAAAGCTAAGAGAAATTAAAAAAAAAAATAAAAATTTATTTCTATTGATTCGATTTTTTTTAAACATATGTAGTTGTTAATTGCAAACTCCAATAAATGTGCTTGAAAACTCCAAAAATGTTATTTTAGAATACAATTTTTTTTTATAAAATTTGTTTGAATAAAATTTTTTAAGGAAAGTTTGGCTAAACTATGTGAATTTTCAACAAAATGTTGCTCACTAAATATTTTGACGCTGATAATGAAATGAATATTCGAAAAATCTATACTTTTTTCTACAAAGCTAACATATTTTTAAGTTTTCTGTTATGTATGTTGTATGTACCTACATATGTGTGTATGTATAAATATCTACAAGAATATGTGAGCGGAAAAAATTTTATGGAAAAAATAAACAAAATTCTTGGATTTTTTTCAATACTTTCTTTTTAATTAAAAATTTCCTTTTTCAACCGACGTTTGACTTGAAAATACTTTGCTTGAAATTAAATTTTTATGCTTTTCGCAAATGTGCTATATTATTAAAATACATTTTTTACACTATGGTAAACATATTTTACAAAAAAGAAAATTAAGTAGCTAGAAATAGACTAACAAACAGTTTATAATACAAAATTATGGCCCTGAGCATTGTTGTATGTATGTACGAGTATTATCAAAATTATAAACAAAAATTTTTTAATCTAAATTGCTTATTTCATATATTTTGTACAATAAGAAAATAATGGCGTGCCAAAACAAAAATCGGGCCAATCTAAAATACATACAGTTGTAATAAAGGCGAAGATGGTTAAACCTCGCTTATGTAGCAGAACATGGATATTTTTGATGGCAGAATGTATTCGAAATTTGCTTTGAATTTGAAGATAAAAAAAAAACAATTTTAGTCAGTAAAAAAATATATGCGAAAATAAAAAAATTTAAGGGAAAACAAACTTAAACCATTGCAATTTTTTTAAATCTCACAATTTTAAAAGTTGTAATATTTTTAAGACTTGAAACTTCTGAGATTTTTAACTTTATTTGTTTTTAATTTTATAAAATTTTTAAAGTTTTATGCCCGGTTGCACCAATCAGTCTGTTAAAATTTAAAATGACAAATTTTCCGAACAAAATTTTAAAACTAATTGGTGAAACCGAACATTAATATTTTAATATGTTTAAATTGGTAAAAAAAAATTTAATTGACTAATAACATTTATTCCTTTGAAAATTTGAAAGTTTTGAAAATTTAAAGAAAGTGCATAAATACACATAAATTTGAATGCTTGGAAAGAAACTTTCAAAAGCCATGACGTTTTGAGAAACAAATGCACAGTTGTAAATTTTCGAAAGAAATTACGATTAAAATTTATAAAAAATTTAAACTTTGAAAGGTTTATTTTAAAAGTTTTTTTTTAAATAATCTAATTTTTTATGAAACAAGTGTTTGGATGGTAAAAAAATTTAGGAAAATTTAAGTTTTGCTTTAGTAAATTTTATGTTTAAGAATTAAGCTGTGTTTGGATACCAGGAAATTTCGGAAAAAAAAAAATTTGAATTTAAAAAACCTAACTTCTTCGGAAAAAATTAAAAACTGTAAAACATAGAAGTAAGAATGTTAAAAAATTCTTAAAATAATTAAAAGTGAAATTTCATATAAATGAAAAAGGTATTTAAAACAGTATATAGCAAAATACAAACAAACCTTGATACAAAAATATTAAAAACTAAAATTTTAAAATTGTGTACGTCTTTGAGACTTGAAAAATTTAAGAAATAAAGAAATTTTTGAAAAATGGGTCGGTTTGGGAAGATTTAACTTTTATAATACCTAAACAAAATTTAAAAAGTAAAAAACCAAAATCCGAATTAAAAATTTCAGAATATAATTTTTTTGCCCATTTTCCAATATCCATAGTCTGCAACATAAAAAAGCTGAGTTGCGTGACCAAACGCAAATAGTACTTTTGCATTCCTAGAATTATTAAATACAATTTACGTTGATTTTTGATTTTTTTTCTAATTTATTTATTGTGATTAAGTACAGTGTAGGCATTTTTACAAAAATTTGTTGCCAGCATAGCAAAATAAAATATAAACATTTTTAATTAAAATTTAATTTTAAAACTAAAAATGTGTACAACTAAATTCAATACAAAGTGAGAGTGATTGCTGGGCTACATTTTTTTTATAAAAAATAATAATACTAAATAATACTAAAACGAATAAATCGTTTTTATTTCTTACTTGTTTGCGTATACAATTAAAACCAAGTGCTTAATTTTAAATAATAAAAAACTAATTATTATTAAAAGAAAAATATTCCTGATTTATTGTTGCTTGTGGTTTACATAAGTTTGGCATTGGCACTTACTACAAAAAATTGTATGCTTAATATTTAGACATTTTTACATTAAGCAATTTTTATACAAAAAAATAAAATTCAATGGCAATATTGTCGTACAAAATGATTAAAATTATTTTATAAAAATAATTAAATGAAAATGTTAAATAAAGAGCACTGCGCACAGTGGCATGTTGAGTGCGTGTATGTGTGGGTGTGTGTATTGATGTGAATTAGAAGTAAATAAAACTAGAGGAAATTGTGAGCAGAAAAAAATGTGCATTTTCTTTAAATCTTAAAAATATATTTCAAAAATACTTTTCTCATTAATGTGCTGCCTATCTTTGTTTACTGAGGTATTTGCGTTGAAAAAATAAACTAAATTCAAAAATTCATAGATATATTCTTATGTAAATATGGCAATACATTTTGAGGTGGTTTTGGTTAAATTTGGCTGACGACGGCTTTGTGAAAGCCGCAATTAGCGCGGGCGATTAAAGCAATCCGAAGCAGGGCGTAGATATGAAAGGAATGTGCTTGTCCGTAGTAGTACCGCGTAACGTCGGATGAAAACGGCCAAAAGAAGGTCAGTATGACGACGCGAAAAATGGCGTTAGATCCAAAAACTATAGCGCATTTTCTTCAGAAAAATGAATCGCTTGAACTTGAACTCTATTATGCTATTAATTTCGTTTCGAACCAGTCTTCCTTCCAATAGCTTTCCATCGAAAATAGTTGTAATAGACAAAAACTTGCCAAGTTTTGTAAACTGTCTTTCGTCGCGTTCGTGCGAGGGACCCTATCTCTGTCGCCTTTTTTGTCAAAGAGCCCTGCAGTGCTTACAATTTCCAATTGCAGGCTTTCCTCCAACAGAATTGTGCAAAAAAATACTCCTTTAATCACAGCCTACATTTAAAAAAAAGCTTAACAAAGCTCTCACGGCCTGAAAGATCACTTTCACGTCGAGCTATTTACGGTCTAGAAAACAGTATTCCCTTTAGCCATGATATAGGCACTTCACGCGACAGTCAAACCGACAGATAATGAGCCTTCTAACTGTTGAAAGTTTGACTTAAAAATACAAGTTAACTACAATTAGCTCAACTGATACCTGTACGCACTTAGTTATGAGATTGCTTGAAGACAATTCTTCCAAATTACTGATATCCGACCTTTCGAAGTACCATAACATTCCCTCGTACCCATTAACCGACCAATCTAGAGTCATATATACACTACAGTTAATGAGCCTTCTAACCGCTAAAGATTTGTCCTGACCTCATTCAAAAATTGTAGTTTCCAAGCTACCCAGTTTAGCTCAACTATCAGCTGTTCAATCTGAGTTATGGCTACCTTTAAGCCAGCTCCCCAAATACGTAAGCTCTTCATGGGTAGTTCATAGTACTATACTTTGATCTCTGTTCATGTATTCACGCTTTATAGCCTTCAAAACGTTAAGAGTTTGTTCTAAAATGCAATACCTAGTACCAATTTGCCTCCGCTTAGGCCAGCTATCCTCAGTGCGTTCAAAAACGTACTTAGTCATAGACCTACTTCTCAAAAAAGCTCCTCATGGATATACAGTAAAACTAGAAATTTGGCATTACCCATTGACGGACCAAGCCACAGTCGTATTTCAAGCTAATAGCTAGGCACACTCAGTGGCAGTCCCTAGTACAGGTAATACCTCTTTCAACTGCTGAAGGTTTGTCTTAAAATACAATTCACTGAATCTACTTAGGGCCGATTTCAAAAGCTTTTCAAGTTGTTGCCGTTTGAAGGATGAACCAGTAGACATACTCCCAGACTTGATCTAAGCTATATGACTCCTCAAGAGCAACCATTGCCCTTTTGCGGATGAAGTTGCGCTAAAACCTGTTCTAACTGCAGACAAAAAGTCGTCCAATGGCTCAAAGTTTGTCTTAAAAGTCAGCGCCAGAAACTGCCTAAAACCCGTTTGAAAAACTTCATATCCAAGGTTGCCCATTTACGGACCCAGTGACTAGGTGTTTTTTGTTTTGGAAATTTTTATATTTAAAACTGTCTATTTACGACGCAATAACTAACTTTTCCTGCGCTATTTCATATGCAGCCTCTTACTGGACGCTACTGGAGTTGATTATCCTTCTAACTCCCTGCGATGTTTGGTCATTTCTTAAGTTGGAGCGGTCGTAATACCATATGGAAGAGCCTCAGACACCCTACACTTATCATTCTTATACTTCAGCATAGACAATGCACAAACTAGTCAGTTCAAATCCATTTCACTGCGGTGAGTGCATATACGTACTATTCTTTGCGCCAACTCGTACCCATTTTCAAAACCCTTAACACCCTTTATATGGGCCTCTTCTACCTTTTTAGCCCTATCCAAGTGCTATCACTTTATCAAAAATACGCTGACAACTGTTTTTCAGGCATCCCCTGTACATTTTCCTCCTCCTTAATTACACGTATCAAGTAACCCTCTGGCACATTATCGTCATCTTCTATGAAGCTGTCGTCGGTCGCCAAGTCCCCGCTGCGCTGATAGTCGCTGCAGTCAAGTGGCATAGTTACTGCCGTTACGGTTAGATTTTGCGTTTGTGACGCATACATAGGCGGCGGCATATCAAGCAACTCTTGTTTGATATTTGTCAAACGCTCTCTCATATTGTGACTAACATTTTCTTCCCCCTCTTCTACAGCTTGTTGCTGCTTTTTGTGCGAATCTTTGCTCTGGTCTTTGTCTAGTCTAACATACTTGTCGGCCATCTTCATTGACGGCTTTGTCATCGGCTGCACAGCTTTTAATGTCTCCATATCTAATATACCCTGTTCAGTCATGTCCTTAAGCACCCGCTTGGCTATTACTTTAGGACGTTTATGCGTTTCAATGTGTTTGCGCAAGTGGTCTCTGCGACAGAAACTCTTTTCACAAATATCGCAGACATGCTGTTTCATGCCCGTATGTATGGCTTCGACATGGCGACGCAAGTCGGTCTTGTGATGGAATTGCTTGGGACAAAGTTCACATTTGTGTGGCTTTTCCGAGGCCTTATGTCGCGAGATATGCACCTCGTATACCTCCGGATACTGGTAACGTTTGCCGCATTTAATGCAACGGTATGGGTACTCACCAGAGTGGAAGCTCTTGTTGTGCTGCGTCAGGTAACAGTTTTTGGTGAATTCCTTATTGCACTCCAGGCATTTGATGCGGCCGGATGGCAGCATGGTTGAGCGTGGTGTGGTCGTACATGAGGAGGGCGAACGTCTGCGTTTCGAGGGAGGTTGGCGTTGTGCAGGTCTCTTCGGCTTCGCATTGCTCGCAGTTGTGGAGGTGGTGGTGGAAACGGTGTTTGTATTGGCATTAGTATTGGCAGTGGAGACGGTAATAATGCTGCAATCGTTTGGCTTGCCGGTTGTGGAGTCTACTAATTCTTGCATGACGGTTGTGTCTGGCTTGATATTCTGCTTTTCGTCTTCTGCGTGTGCATATGATTTAATGTTCACCTCCTCTTCTTCGTGTGGGTATGGCTCGACCGCGGAAGGCAGCGTCTCTATCATTGTCTGCGTAGACTCTTGATGGATATGCAGTTTGTCCTGTTCCGATAAGCCGTTGGGCAAAATGGTATGCGCTGGTGGCAAGTCTCCCTCTTGCGGTGAGCGGGGATAAGCCTCACGGATGGTTGTGCGCGGCGGTAGTGCGTAGAATGTCTGCCCCATAAGCGCCGAGGACATGAACTGGACTATCTGGCCATCGGCAGTAATCATTTGTTGCGTCTGCAGTCCACCATAGGGATCCAAGGAGGCCAATTGCAAGAACTCGCTGCTTACATCACTGCTGCCGCTGCTGTTCGCATTGAATCCTTCACCATTCATGGTGCCATTACCAATAATAGTGTGATAGGTCATTGTGGGCTCCAGCGGCGCCAGCTCCGACCCCTGCTGCAGCTGCTGGAAGGATGGAATGGTGTTGGTGGTGTGCAGCGGCTGCTGCAGCTGCGGCGGCGGCAGCAGCTGCTGTGTGGTGGTGGTGATGGGCGGCAGCAGCTGCGGCATGGTGGTGGTATTGATGGTGTCCAGCTGCGACTGGATGCTGGTATTGTTGAGCAGCGTATTGCGCATGGACGGTAGCACCAGCTGCTCCTGCTGCGCCTGCGCTGCTTGCTGCGTGTGCTGAGTGTGGTGGTGGGTGTGGTGGTTGTGCAGCATATGGATGTTGCCCATATTGACTGTAGTAGCTGTGCTGGTGGTGATGGGCTGCGGCGGCTGCAGCAGCTGCATACTGCTGCTGAGCAGCGGCGGCGTGTTGATACCCAAAGGTATGATGTTGTATTGCTGATCCATTATATTGGCTGGCATATGGACTCCCGCTGGCGGCTGCATGGCTGAGAAAATGCTGTCCACCATTGCCTGCGGACGCCGCAGTTGCTCCTGGTATTGCTGATGGGAGGTAATATGGGGCGATGGCACTCGCCCCGACTCCGGGTTGAGCGTGGGCGTGCTGTTGTGAAAGTGCCGCTGCTGCTCCGCCAATTCCTCCAACAGTTGATGATGATGAAAGACCCCCAAGTGCTCCTCCCGTTCCAAGTCCGCTTGCGCCTGACGGTGGCGTTGTAATTGCGCCTCCGCTTCCTGCGCCTGCTCCGCTGCCACTGCTGCTGCCGCCGCTGCTTCCTCTTCCAGCTGCTGATGCTGCTGTTGTTGCAGCATTTCCATGTCCGTTTGAGAGCGCTCCCGCTCCTCCGGTGACGACATTGTGTCCTGATCCGTGTCCGATTCCGGCGCCTCCAGCTGAGCTGAGTGCGTGAGAGACATGTTGTTGTTGCTGCTGTTGTGCTGATAGATGTTGTCCTCCATGGGTTCGCTCTTTGTGATAATGGTTGTTGTTGTTGTGTTCAGCAGGCCCCTCGTTTGGGAGGACGGCATTGGTTGAGGTGTTGTTTGGGCGGAGGGACCTGCTAACCCGTTTGGGTGACCGTTTAAGACGGTTTGTGTGTTGTTTGGTGAGGTGCCGGCGACGTTCATGTGACCGGTTACATTTTGCGGTGAGTGGCTATTCGTAGACGACTGCACCTGGTTCAAATATTGCTGCTGTTGTGGCTGATAGCCGCTCGGGTTTGCGCCATATGGCATACCGTTCAACTGCGCTTGCTGTGTCGGCGAGGGTGAAGCGGAGTATTGTGACAACTGACCCATACCCGCACCCTGCCCAAAGTCCGGCGGACTTCTAGGCGGTTCGGGTGGCTGCACCGGCGCAGGCGGTTGCTGTTGTTGAGCGGCAGCTGCAGCCGCGGCTGCTGCGGCGTTGGCATTATTACGACGACTGTGTGACTTGGTCGTTGTAGTGGGTTCACGTGCGGGATGATGATGCGCCGAAATGGGTAGCGTTGCTGGATCCGGCTGGCCGCTAGATTTCACAGCATTCTTATGCAAAGTTGTATTGTAGTGGCGCTTCAGATGTCCCGAACTTGTGAACCACTTATTGCAAGCAGTGCAGTTATAGGTCTTCGGACGACGTGCCTCGTTCGACTTCCAAGTGGCGGCCTTTGTGGGAGCGCTGGCAGAATTTACTGACGACGAAGAGGGTGGCTCGAAGCCGCGATATTGCTGCTGCGCGTCTTGTGACCCAGTCGTGGTCGAAGGAAACTCCGCAGGGCTGGAAGAAACTGGCATCATTTGCTGCTGCTGAACGGAAGGCGGGGGTTGTTGGCACATATCACTGGCCACAGTTGGGTCAAAAGATTTGTCCACATAATTCTGCGAGTCCGGATATTCTGACTTAATCAAACCGTATTCCTGCTTGATGTTCATACCATTCGGACCGCCGCCGGTGACATGATATGGCGATTGCTTGGGCGAATAATAGGGCGATTGATTGGCATGAGGCGGCTTGCCGCTCAAATCCGTTTGCGGCTGACTGGGTTGCGTGGGTGGCTGCTGCTGCATATACGGCGGTAGACCTTCCTGCATGCCACCGTTGGGTGGTTGAGGCTGCTCCCAACCAGGTAATGCGCGTTGCTGCATGCTGTGCATGGAGTGCAGCGGATCGCTAGCGCCGACTACGTCGTGCATTTGCTGCGGGTGATGCAGCATCGCTGGTATGCTGCCGGGGGCGGGCGGGTAAATCATTTTTTGTGAGTCCAAGTCGAGTAACTCGCCCGGGTTGCCACCCTGACCCTGCTGGCCAGTGGATTGCTGCTGCGAGCCCGAAGACAGCTCCTCCTTTATATACGGTGAGCTCGAGTAGCCGCTGCTGCCATAGGGCGAGGCGCCATGCACGTTGGTGATGTGCTCTTGCAGTTCATTGTCGCTGGTGCACATGAGGCCGCACTTCTTGCACTGAAGCTTACAACCGCCGGCAGGAGAGCCAGCTGCGGAGCTGCCGCTGAGCTGTAGGTGGGCCGAGGTAGATGTTGGACTGCTGGAACTGACAACGCGCGGGCTTAGCGAATTCGTAGTGGTCGAAACGGCAGCGCTGCTTTGCGGTAATGGCAATGTTCCACCACCGCCACCACTCGAAGCAATATCTGGTGTACCATTTCGATTGCCACCATTGCCGTGTGCGTCATTAGGGCCACATGAGGTAGGTGTGTTGAGGTAGGGATGATAGCGCACGCCACTCGCGCTGCTCGAGTTGCTGCCTGCCTTATAGTCGCTGCTGGTGCTGTTTCCGCCAGGGCCAGTGGCATACATAAGCCCATAGTCCGTGGTGGCCGAGCCCACTTGCTGTTGCTGCTGCTGGTAGAACTGCTCAAAGCTATTTATGTAGCTCGGATAAGCACCGACACCTTGCTGCTGTTGCATATCTGATTGAGCGCCGGCAGTCGCGTAAATGCCGCCACCGCCGCCATACATATGCGCCAGTGAAGCGTTGGCATGCGTGGTCGTAGCGACCGAGGTATACATGCCGTAAGGATTGTGCGCTAGCTGCTGCTGTTGTTGTTCGTTGTTGCCAATTAATTGTCCATTGATGGGGGGTTGCGGCGTGCCAGGTTGATTATCGCTCGAGTCTGCGGCTGCGCTAATCGTATTATTGCCGCTATTCGTACCCGGTAGGCCAGCATCGCCGACGCCACTGCTATTCGAATGCGGACTATTGGAGACAATTGTGTCAGCATTGCCACCACCCTCGCTACCACCACCGCCACTGTTGCCGCCTGTGCCACCGCCGCCTCCGCCACCGGCATCTGCCGCATGCAAAGGCGGCATCTCCGTTTTAATTGCGGCCATCAACTACATAAGTTGGACGTTTTTGTGGTTATTTCTGTTTCGTTAATTATGGCTATAAAATATATGATTACTTGAGTGGATTCGAGTATATTTCTCACAAAATCTTCGACTGTCTTCCAGCGGGTTTCAACTGGTTGCGTCTTTAGCACATTGCGTGCGTGCGTGCGTGCGTGTCTACAATACCGGCGCTTTGCTCTTACTGCTTCACGTCCAAAGAAGAGACGTCGCGTTTTCTTTGGCTGGTAAATCGAAGTCGTTCGCTGGCTCAAAATTTGTGAGTCGAATTTTACAATCGTTCGTATTTTTTTTTGTTGGGCTCGCGTGTTGCTGGATCGCTGGGCTGTAAAATATCGCTGCTGTTGCTGCTTTCGAAGAACTGTAAAAATAAAAGGAGAAAATTTTAAAAAATTTGCACTGTTAAAAGAATTTCAATGATGACTAAGTGCTTTTTCGCATAAAAATAAGTGAACAAAAAATTTGTACAAATCTGCGTAGATACCAAAACTTTTAAGGCATTAAAAAGCAAGTAAATAGCTGCGCAGCCGCAGCCGCGCATTACAAGTTATTATCTGCACATATTTACGTATGTATATATGTATGTATGAATGTGCGCAAAAGGTGCTTATTGACAGCATAAGCGCACACTGAAATTATTTACAATGACAAGCATTACAACAAAAACAACAACAAAAGCTTCACCTTTGTAATTTATGGTTAACATTTTGGAATTTGAATGTTGGACTGCAAAAACAGCGTTGTGGGTAATTTTTTTGGCGCCTTACGGGCGTTGGTAAACTGCAAAAAACTTTTGGGCTTGATTACTTGTCGTTTACAGACTTGAGTGCTTTTGTAAGTCGCATAAAGCTCCTTTCTTTTCCTATTTGCTTTAAGACAAAAATTAAGAAAACTTTTCAAAAAGTCTTTCACTTTCTCGGCCCAATTTATTAGTCGTTACAAATCGTGTAAAAATTTATTTGCCATACAAAATGCGCTGATTTCCATTTTCCCGTCTTTTTGAATTACTTAAAGCTTAAACAGACGGCGGCGTTGATCCATATTAATCGGACTTAATCCGGATCAGCTGCAGTTAATTCCCGATTTGATCCGGATCAACGGTGCCGCCTGTTTATGCTTTAATCCTTCCTCCTTCGTACTTAATCTCAGCCTCTGTTAGCTTCCCTGTCTCCCCGTTCCCTAGAGTTCTTACTTTAATTTACTCTGATAACATTTTCATCACTAAAACCACAAAGACTGACCCTGGCCCTTCGGCGCATGAGAGCAACCCCGAAACACTCAATTACATATTGAGAAGGCCCTTTTCACCTGCGGATATGGTCCTTTGGAACTCTTTTCGACATTTTCGATGCATTTTACGCTTCATCCTTACAAAATTTGTCTTGCTCCCTGCTCTATCTCCCTTACACACTTCACAGTTCTTGTCCTAGTCACTACTTTTTTCCTTTGAATATTGTCCACCATCTCCTCGTACTTATTCTCCGTTATTCCGAATCAATTTCTAGTTTGGTTCTAAAACTTTCTTTCGAATCTTTTGTTAGTTTCGCCCTGCCAGAGTATGCTTGAAGTGTAAAAGAAAACGTCATCGTCCTACCGTTTTATTGTCTATGTTCTATAAAGACTGCGGACACAGATTTTCACAAGAAGTTCTCTGAAATCGAGAAGATAATTTCAGCTCACATATATTTTCTACACACGAAACATTACCACATTAGTTGTTGCTTTCGTCATTTCCCTTCCATACTAAAATTGCTGTTCATCCCGAACGTGATCTATGGTCTCATCTGCCAAGAGTTCATCCCATTGCGGTTTTACTGGATTTCTTCCGCCATCACATGACAAGCTCACTGGCCAAGCAAGCCTGTCTATATATGTATATAGAGTTCCCTTCGAAATAATGTCTACGACTTCCTTATAATACTCGTTATTAGTGTCCCCAGCACTTCAAAACGTTTTCCGTATAATTTTCCTTGGTTTCATCAAAAAACAAACTCAAGTCTTGCCCAATTTCATTACCGACTCTTAAATATTTCTAGTCTCTATACAAACTCGCGTCAGTAGCTAGAAGCTACTCCTGTGACAGTAGGGTTTGCCTTACTGGAAAGGTGCCGATTTATTTTTGGGCAGGGTTGGCACTTTATCAACATTCCCCAGAACTTTTTGAGAAATTTTAAGCTGTCAGATCACCAGTTTGTTCTAAACGCGTTCTCCTCAGTTATCTTCACCAGTACTGTAATGGATCAATGTCTGGAGAATTTGAGATCAAAGCTCGAAGTATTGGAGCGTGAGAAGCATAAACAGTTCTGAATAGCTTTAAGAAAAAAGTGTCCTGATTCCGAAGTCTTCTATAAGGAATATGAAAATTTATACGCTCAAGAAGGAATGGAGAATCAATCTCACCACTTATTATGTCAAATACGAAGGAGAGAGAGTATAATCCTTCTATTTTGTAAATATTTAAGGTTAATTAGTTGATATCTTGCACTGTACGAAGGAATTGGATCTACAAAATTAAGTGATCGAAGAGCAAAGCGTACAAATACCTTTTAAATGCGCTTAAGTCTTTTGGACCATACAAGAGAGTATACATGTAATACTTTTAGGGTGTATGGATCAGTAAAATCTGAACTGAAACGCCGAATGAAGGCAAGCATTGAATAAATAGGCATTTGCGATGGTGCAATTAATGTGACTATTAGAAAGAAATTTAGGGTCAAAAACCTCAGCGAGATCGGAAATTTCGTTGCGAATGGCTAACTGAGAGTCACCACTGATCTGACTGTATCTTGATTGAGTCTGAGGGCCTTAAAATAGTGGTATAGATTTTTAAATCGTTCGCATAAAGAAGAAATTCAGAGTTAATGAAGCAGTCAGATATATCATTTATAAAAATAACGAATAACAGGGGACCCAAAATTCTACCTTGGGGAACCCCCGAGGAGGCAATAAAAGAATGGGAGGGGACGTATTATTGAGGCATAGAAAGGTCGTTCATTTCTTGCTCGTGGCCTATTTTCACATTTCAGAATTAATTAAGCCCGCGCAGCCTGATTTTATTTTTTGATTGCGGTTTAATGCACGCGGCCATAATGCGCGGAGTCTACAGTAATAACCAGGGAACGAATTTTTAGGACCTAAAAACCTATAAAAAAGGCAAAATAAAATAACAAAATAGGCTGGAAAAGGGAAAATAAAATAGCGAAAAAGGCATAAAAAGGCGCTAGGTATTACAAAAAAGGCGAAAAAAGGCAAAACAAAATGGCGAAAAAGGCAGGAAAAGGCACTAGGTATTGCAAAAAAAGCAAAATAAGGCACTAAAAAAAGACAGAAAATACGAAGAAAAATAAAAAAAAACATGTATTTTAGAAATGTTTATATTACAAGTAAAAAGAGATAAACTATGAACTAGTTTCATTATATGAAAAATTTGTACTTTGAATCTTTGACTATTTTATCCTTTCGAGTTTCTAACTCATAAAACTTTAATCTGTTTAGTTGTAGTAACATTGAACGCCAAGTTGCATTTTGAAGTTTTCTGGCAGCATTTTCATTCGATTTTCGCGAAGAAAAGCCTTGAATGTACTAAATGTGCGCTCGACGTAAGTTGATACAAGTGGAGCCGAATTTAAATATGAAACGTTTGAAACGTTCATATTATCAGGAATAAGGGCGTTTTCCTCGCCCTTTACAATTTTATCCACACCTCTTATTGTCCCCAAGCTGCGAAAACGGCTTTGAATTTTTCCAACACCAATTTGGCAAGAGATCCCTGCGCTTCTATAAGCCGCATGGGCATGTGAATATTTTTTAATCTTAAAAAAAAATTGTGAATGCTATAATCCCTTTTTTAAAGGAATCAGGGAAAGCTAACTCGTGGACATTCTTAATCGAATATACTCTATCTCTTTAGCAGAAAAAAAGGCAATTTCCATAAAATCCGTTCCCTGGTAATAACTAATTTCATAGACTTTTCAATAATTCATCCCAAGTTGTATATAAATGTAGCTTCAGCACTCATTGAAACAGCTTTCATGTTTCATAAGAAAGCTTTCGTATTTCTCTCGAGATTATGAAAAGAGGCCAACACTCTGCAGACTTAGTTTAAATGAGTTTTAGTTAAATATTTATTCTAAATACATATATATCAGAGAACAGCTTTGAGTATGATCGAGCCTTTTTGATCACACTCACT